AGTAAATATTGTCAGTGCAGAAAAGACTAGCCAGCACTTTAGCTTTTTCATATAAATAGCACTAATTGAAAGAAAAGGAAACTTACTTTAAGGTGTTTCTCCCACGGAGATGTCAATATTTTACATTTTATTTATAACACATGCATACTAAGGTCCCACCAGAAGTGGATCAAAGTGATTTCTTCCAAGAGTCCTTTATGTGTTATGGGGATTAATGCCTCAGCTCTTCAGTATTGTTTATTTTTTTTCCTTCAGCAGTATGCATGCTGTTTAGTCGTTGTTAGCATTTTCAGTGTATGGCATGATTTAGTATGTGGTGCCCTTGTTTCACTCATGGATTACTGCATTGTGTAGTCTGATGATGCTTCACTGCGTCATCTATGTTTGATACGATTTGTTCTCAGGCTTTTTTTGTGAATCATTGTGCAAGCAGCAGGTTCTCATGCAAAATCTCTTGTGTACCAAGGGTTCAATCTCACTTTCTGGGTTATGTGACTGAGGAACAGCCCCAGAAGGAGTCATCCCACTTGGATGTAGGGCTCCACCATCATTTAGCTTGGTCTTCCCGATTGGATTTGGGGAACTGCTGCTTTAGATGGTGTGTTGTTTTCAAATAGCAATCTGAGTGACGTCTGCAACCAACACTGACTTACGTTTCCTCCTGATTACAACCCAAAAGGTCTCTTCTGTGCAGTTGGTATCCTTCCAAGAGTTCAAAGACCTTCATGTGAAATAAAAGGGACAGAACTCTAGGCGTCATAGACTGAGGCACTTCAGGTTTTCAGATGCAGGATGAAGTTCTTCTTAAATCATACAAAGCTTAAAGGAAAAGGCAGTAACCCTTCTGTAATGCTTTGGGACTATACAATACAATGCTGTATTTCAGTAAGGTTGAGTTTCCTTGGTGGAGATTATTAACCTTTTATTTGTATTATGATCTGCGTGACAAAATGTTGTCTTAGGTCTCCTCAGAGAGGTGTTGCCATTGAGTCATGTAGCCTGAAAACTTGCACCACAGCTGCAGATGCAGATTTTCTCTTAAAAAGCCCTCAGTATAAACATAAAAAAATTTAGATGAACAGAGACTTAATATTCCTTGGTAAAGAGGTGAAAGTCATAGTATTTGGAGGAAGAGATATAAATGCTTATTATTGGGTTGAAATGCTATTATCTGTTCAGGTGAACAGACTAAAGAGAGACAGTAGAGTTTTTTGCCACAACAGTCTGAGGATTCGGACACCTTGGATCCCACTTTCGACTTGCCCACAATTTGTATTTGGAATCACAAGAGGCATCAAAACCTTCAATCCCAACCTACATATTCAGGCCCAATACATGGTGCAAAGTGTGTAACACTGGAGTTCATTAATTCCGTCAGTCTTAACTGAAGATTTTCCTCAGTGTCAATCCAATAGATGTCATGTCCAATGATTGCTTGATGTGCTTATACCTGTCTTTTGGATAATAGTTGAGTGGTTGGGCATTTGTCCATAAAGCAAAGTTTCTGTGGTTAAAGCCCAAACTCCCATTTCCAAGACAAGGTTTTAACTGCCAGGGTATCATCAGGAATGGTTTATTGGTTTCCTGTCTGCCTCTTGATGAAGTTGCGCCATGAAGAATGCAAGAATGCTTCACTTTCTCCGTGAACCCTCTGAGGTTCTGTGCTTTCCGTGAGGGCTGCATAATGTGAAATACAGGAAAAGACCTTAGGCCTTTATTCTTCTTCCCTGAAGCTACATGCTTGCTCTTTCTCTGTAGCCCAAATAATATATATCCACTTTAAGGACTGTGGTATTTGAACACATGGGTATGACGCACCCATGTGTCAACTTACGGATGTCATAGCATCATGCAGATTCAGGAGAACCAAATGCGATTACGTATCTCGTCCAAGAAACATGAAGGTGTGCCATCATTAAGCAAAGCTCAATAGGTCATTTATCAGGGAAACGATACAGGACCCTGATTACAGGAACTAGCAAGTATAATTCTTGCAGAATTACTTAATGGGCATATAGTACTAAGTACCTGCTAATCATGAAAAGCCAAGGACCGAGATGGTATCACCGAGATGGGTGATACCCAAAGACAAGGTGAGAGACCGAATTTGTGAGACATATTGGTACAGTAGAGTTCTGATCAAAAATGGTTGTTTCTGCAGTTTTTTAGCCTTCATTGATGTGTGACTGTGACACCATTACCAGTGTGCAGTCCAGCTCCTGAGGAACTTGTGTCACATCCTGCGTTATAAGATAGATGTGAATCACTGTGCCATTTGCCTCAGCTTTGGACTTATTTTTCAAATAATCTTTAAGTAATTGGTCTTGAAAGGGACCTGAGCTTTTGCAGTAAAATTGAAAGTTACAACATCCCTTACACTTGTTGGAATACAGCCTCCCACAGGCTTTATTGTTATTGTTCTATAATAATGGAACAGTTGAGAAATATGTGCAATAGTTAGTTTCGGGGGGGGTATAAGATTTTCAGAAGTAAAAAGAAATGGGTAAAATGTTCTGTGCTCCTTTGTAAGAAAGACAACTGAGAATGTGGAGACAATTCCCATGCTGTGTGGGTTACAATGCTTTCCTTTTTTTTTTTTTTTTTTTTATTTTTTAGTGACAGATACCCTCAGTGGCTGAGGCTAGAATCTGTTAACTGCTGTGTGTGCTCAGATCCTTGTGCCACTTCTGTCAATGGGGTACTGGTGAAAACACAAGCTGGAGAGCCATAAATACTGTTCCTGGTGATTTTCACGTGATCAAGTAATCGACTCCCATAGAAGTTTTCAGGCTCAACAAGTGATGTTGAAAGATTGGAAATGTAAACCTCCGCAAACACTTCTGAATAGGAGCAAATAAAAGTATAAGAATTTCTATTACGACTAGAGAAATTTAAGGTCTTGGTAATCAAGGAAGAAACTGACAAATTGGTACAGCAGTATAGATGAGCTATAATAAACAACAAGAGCAATTTGGAACTGCAGTAGGTAATTCAGCCTGATCCCTTTCTTGTCACAGAGGAAGGTATAAAACTTCTTTTTCCTTTTACTATCAGCGTTTAAATGCATCACTAATGATGCCACCAACATTGTGCCAAAGGAGTCAAAGTTCTAAGGTTTAAGGGGATTAACAGCAGAAGCATCAATTCTTTTTTTTTTTTTAAGTTTAAATACCGGAACATCACTAAACACATAGGTGTACAAATAAGCAGAGAGACATTATAACTGCTGGAAAATAATTTAAATCTGATCCTGAGAATATCAGAATAAAACGAACAAAACAGTTTGAAAGCTTATTTCACTATTCATTTCACAACTCATTTTGGTGATTCTTGTAACAACTTATTCTTGTGAGATATTTTATTCCTTTGGGCAGTGTTTCTGACAACCTCTAAAATTATGTGAATTCTACCTTTGAAGTAAGTGGCATAGGGTGTTTCACACTAATTCTTTTTGCAACCTACAGCAGTTTTAATGGTGCCCATATGGGAAAACTCAAGCAAATACTGAAAAGAGGTGCTACTTGCCCATACAACCTTTGCACCAGCCAATAGCCAAAATGGACCTGAGGCAAAGTTCCTGAAGAAATAAGGCACTGGTTCTTCTTAGCTATAGTTGGAATAAGTTACCAAGGGAGGTGACATGCTTGTTCATTACCTGCGGCTCTCCCAGGAAGACGGGCTGTTTTCTTCTCTAAGCACACAGTGCCCCCGGAATATCGGGGTTGCATTTGAGTGCTTCAGGGTGGTCTTAGGTTCTTTCAGACTTTTTAAAGTCTGCTTGAAATCATCACAGTTCTCTAGCTCTCTCTCTCATGCGTGCACACACAAACACAACTTGTTAAAAAAGTAGCGATAAGTCCTGTGTGCCAGGAGAGGTTCCAGAGCGATGCCTGACAATTCAGTACATTCGTCCATGTTTCACTTCAAAGCATTAGATCCCAGCCCCATTTAAAATCTATGGGAATGTATTCCCAACTGCAGTAGAGCCAGAAAATTCATCCGACCTCTCAGGTTGTAGCTGCTGGTGCTTTTTTTTTCTGACACCTACCTGATGCCTGGGCCAGGGAGAGGGAAGGAGAGCAGGCGCACTAGAAACCCCTTGGTGTAAGTGCCTCTAAGGGGAATCGCAAACTGCCGGTACTGTGAGCATGTCTGAGCCTCACAGCTAGAGCAGACCGCACCACCAGGCTGCTTGCTTCCAGCCCCACAACCACCAGCCAGACCTAAATATCTGACCTCTTTTTTGTTTGGGTTTTTTTTTAGGAAGAAAAGACTTTTTTTTAAAACACAATTCCATGATGTACAGTGAGTCCCATTGTCAGAATCCATGACTAATAAGCATCCTATTAACAGCTGGACTAGGAATGAAGACGGCTGGCACGGCATCTGCTTGCTCTGCAGCCAGTATGTGGGTCTGGCAGACTGGGCAGTGCGGTGGGTGGTCTGTCGCCTTAGCCTGGCCTCCTTCATCCCATTCATGACATTTGGAGGTGTTGGGCTGAATGCTTAACCTTCACAGCAAACCCTAAACGTGACCGCAGGGTGCGTGGTTTTCAAGGAGCAGCACTTCCCATGGGCAGGCTGTGTCTGTGTGACCTCCAGCAGCAATTTTTGGTGCGGCTTAGATACCAGCGTGTTTTGTTTTGCTTTTGAACAGAGCTTCTAGATGTGGGGGTTTATTGGGTTTGGGGTTTTGTGTGTCTCTGTGAGGCCAGGCTCAAATTAGCATTTCTGACTGGAACATGTCTGCAGCTTATCTGCCTGGAAGCTTCTTTCTCTGTGTTATAAGCACCGGGGGAGGCACCGGTGGGCTGCGCTTATGTAAGCCTTAGACCTTCTCCGAACAGGGTGAGGCCTGGCAGGGAGAGGGAGAGCTCCCCGGAGGCTGCTGCCGGGAGAGATGCTTTGCTCCAGGGC